TCAGGATTGATCAACAGCACCTAACAATAACAGCAAAAGGATTAATCTATTTCCACCTCCCATCCCTCCCTGTTAGCTTCCTAAAAGCCCCTTCCCCAAATGTGGTAGCTACTCAGCTGCTCACAGTAGATTCCACCATGGAGTTTATTACCAGTCTTATCATGTGGAATACTACATCCTTAGACAGCAATCAAGTATATCTTACTGTGGTAGTTCAGTTTGTGTGTCAACTTGGTTGGGCCTGGTTGAGTGCCTGGGAAGCTGGATGTAGTATTCCCCATGGTGAGACTGGCAATCAACTCCATGGCGGGATCTACCACAGGCAGCTGAGTAGCTGCCTTTGGGATATGGTCTGCTTCCTATATATAAGGAGAAGCCTTGGGGATAGTCTCTAGCTTATGGCACTCTTGGACCTTGCATGTAGCCATGTTGTTGTTCAGTAGCCTGCCATAGTCTGCCAACCTTGGAACTTACAATGGACTTGAATTAATGGCCTGCTATGTGGTTTGGTAACATTGGGACTGTGCCATTTTATTTGTCAACCTTGGGCTTGTTAGCCTCAGCAGCCAGTAGCTGCCTGAGTGAAGAGATGCCTCTAGCTTCAGTGGGCCAGGAGCAAGAGGCAGAGCTGAAGCCCAAGGTCGAGGGATTTTCACACAGCCCCTAGAACCTGGCACTTGGACCTCAGACCTCTAGCCTTCCAAACTGTAAGATAATAAACTCCTGTTTGCTAAGGCCATCCCATTGTGGTATATTCTTGTCAGAGTGGCACTAGGTAACCAGAACACCAAATTAAATATACTTCCTGGAATTTGAATGTCTAGGAGCAATTTCTTTTTATTATGAAAATTTTCCAACAGAAATGTAGAGCTATGAACATAATGAACGATCATATACTTATTACTTAGATTGAGTAATTGTTAACATTTTACCATATTTTTCTCCATCCTTTCTTATGAAATATTTGCAAATAAATTATAAGCATTAAGACATTTCACTAAAATACCTAAGCAAAAAAAAGGGGGAAAAACAGTACTGGAATGGTCACTGTTTCAGATCCCATGCTTCAGCTACTACTACAGCATCTTATCCACACAATGGGCCCAAACCTAAAAATAATAGTTAATATTTTTGGAGTGTTTACTCTGTCCGTAGGGCACTATATGCATAAACTCATCAAATTCTTATAGCCACCTGTCAAGAAAGTGCCATCTCTAATGCCTATGTGGAAATGGAGACCTGGAGAGGTCAGGTACTTGCCTAAGGACACAAAGTTACTCAGTGGCAGAGACTGAACTCTGAGTTGTTTGACACCACTGAGCTACATGAATGTCCCTGAGCTCTTAAGCAACATGGAATCCACCCTCCCACCATCCACATGAATTCCTCCCCAACCTCTGGGTTTGTGAGCCTCCAACAGCTCTCAGCAGGATTCTCTCCTGTCCAGAGCACTCTTCCATTGCTTATCCCTAATCCATTGGCAGAATTCTTTCCTCCCAAATTGGAGTCCTGGATTCAATTCCCAGCCAATGAACCCCATGAGCTGCCCCTACTGTCTTGTCAGTCGTGGTTTGTGTGTTGCCTGATGCTGAACAGGTTTCAGCAGAGCTTCCAGTCTAAGATGGGCTAGGAAGAAAGGTCTAGTGATCTAATTCTGAAAAGCAGACAACAAAAATCCTATGGCTCTTAATAGTTCAACCCTCAACCAATCTTGAGGATGGCCCAGTATGGGGCGGGGCTTTGTTCCATTGTACATGGGGTCAGCATGAATCAGGGGCCTACTTGATGGCGGTAACAACACCACAACACTCTGGCCACAATGGAAGACTCATGACATGTAACATGAGGGAATAATGTTAGATAGTTCACAGCCCCTTCTAGGCTTGAAGAACACTAAGTGGTGCTCCTCCTGCTTTTCAGAACTGACCATTCTCCAGGCCTTGTTTCCAAAACTCCTAGTGTGTGTGGTCAGTGGCTGGTGTCTCCTTATGGTCTTGGAGGGACCAGTGTCCCTGTTACCTCATGCAGAACCTATCTTCAATTTGTTCTCCAAATCCTAGAGTCCCCACGAGGTTGAATGAACCCTCTTGTCTCAGAGACATATATTCTTGCTTGCTCACTGGCACAAACCACCAGTCAACCAGTTGGCATTGAGTTAACTCTGGCTCAGTATGACCCCATGTGTGTTAGAGTAGAACTGTGCAGTTCAAACTCACCAGCAACTCCTCAGAAGGAAGGTTGGGCAATCTACTCCCGTAGTTACACAGCCTCGGAAACTCAAAGAGGGGTTGCTATGAGTCAGATCCAACTCGACGACACTGAGTTTTGTTTTGATTTTTTGGGAGTAGATCTTCAAGTCTTTTCTCCAAGGTTCCCCAGGGTAGATTTGAACCACCAACCTTTTGACTAATAGCCAATCATGTCAAACATCTAAACTACCCATGGAGTCTCCTGGCACAAACACCAAGGGTTTAGTCTCCAGACATCAAGTACAAACCTGGACATGAAGGGCAGGTCTGCAATCAAAAGTATGAAGCTACACAAAATCATTGAAATAGTACAAAGAATGAGTCAATAATCCTCTGGGGCTTCTCCCTACATGGTCCTCTGCTCTGGAGCTTTCTGAACTGATGCCTCACATCATATTATGAAGTAAGAGTAATAATCAAGTCCAGGTTTTTAGTTGAAGAAACTAAGGCCCTAAGAAGTTCAGTAACCTGCCTAAGGCATCATTGCTTTTAGTAAGCCAGAATTTGACCTAAAGCCCATCTGACACCAAAGCCCAGAAGCTTATGGTTAAGCCCATGAGCTTATTGCCCACCCCCACCACCAATAAAGCAGGCAGCAAGGAGGGAGATGAAACTTAATCTGGTCCTATGAGAGTTTTTTTCAATATGAATTTGTTATCAACATGCAGAAATTCAGAGGTTTCATATGAAAATTCAGGTTTGGAGCTACTCCTAAAAACTAGAAGATCTGCTTACCTTACTGGGTATACCTTCTAATAAACCAATAATTGGCTATAGTTGAGCAGCCGTTGCCCCTTAGGACATGCTTTTTGCAGTCCACCAGAGCTCTGACCCAGCTCTCTTGTTTTTTTTTTTTTTGTTGTTGTTGTTGTTCTGTGCTCAGCCTCTGTAGGCATTAGACTTTGTGACCTCTTGTGGTGAAAGGTTTTTTTTTTTTTTTTTCCCAAGTTGTGTGTTGCAAAGGCCCAAGCTCCTATGCCAAGGATGTATGCCTGGACCAAGTCAGAACCCCAGGCCACAATAGAAGAGCTTCAAAGTCCAAGGTCATGCAGATTTGACTTTGGTACATCTGAAGGGCAGTGTGACATCTTAGTGGAACAGATTAAGGGCAATACTGACTGTTCTCCATGGAGCAGAGGTTCAAGAGCCTTAGAAATCAGCCAGCCTAAACCTATTACTTTCATCTGGTGAAACTGAGACCCTGAGAAGGGGAAGAAACTTTCTTGAGTCATACAAACACATGGTGGTAGAGTGGATCTGGGACCCACAAAAGAATATCAATGTTCCGTCTGCAGTGGAAGATCTCCCTTCCCAATACTCATGTCACAATCAAAGGAAAATGAGACAACAACGTCATCTCCATTCCTAATCAGACTTGTTCTGCACCCCTCACTCCTGTTCCTCCACCTCAAGCCTCCTTGCCTAAGAGCTGAATACAGGGAGTTCCCTGAACTCAGGAAATGAGCCAGTACCTGACATGATGTCGGACGAGGAAGTCAACTCCCATGAAGAAAACCAGGCCCATTCCCATACACTCTTCTGCCCTCTTGAAGGTGTGTTTCTAGCAGACAGGGCCCAAGGGCCTGCTGTGGACTTGGCTGCCACTGTGAGGCCTCAGCACCCACGGATCTCAACACCCTCTAGGGAGTCAAGTTTTCCCATAGGTGTAAAAAGAAACAGAGGGAGGGCTGATGACAAAAGGAAATCTCATCCTGAAGGGGGCACTCATCTGAAAAGGGGTGTAGGACCAGATGACTCCTGCCTTCTCTTCCAGCATGAATATGCTAGTTCTGGGGAACATGTTCTGCCCTAGGGGAAGAGGTGAGGCTGAAAATGGCCCATCTTGTTGGGGAGGAAACAAACCTAGCCAACACCCAAAAGACAGGCCAGCTTTCAAAGTCTCATTGGAAGAGGGAAGAAGTTAGAGAAACGGGAATATCACATAGGTTGCAATTCCAAGACTTGGTAGGAAGAGGGAGATATGTCAAGAAAAATACATCTTGGTATATTTTATCAGATAGTAGGACCACAGGTTTTATAATACAGGAGCCCTGGTCTTACATTCACTCTCCACATTGCGTTACCTCCACCCAAGTTTTATATCTCTAAAATGGAGATGAAAACTGATTGCCAAGTAGTCAACTCCAACTCATGACAACAACAACAAAATAATAATACCTACTGCCTTCTAGAGGTGTTTTAATGATTAAATAAGGTAATGCAGGTAAAGGGTCCAGTCCACTGGTTTAGGGTAGAAACTCAGTGAAGTCAAAGGTCTGGTCTTTATTTATCTTTTCCTAGGGTTGTTTCTTTCCCTCCCTTTTCTAAAAGGTATGTGTGGGTTTGAGGGTAGTTAGCCTCTGCACCCTTCTCTCTTCTGTTTCCAGAAGCCCAGCAATGCTCCGGGGAGACAGCATACCTGGGCTAGTTCTAAAATTTGAAGCAACTGTACATTACAAAAAAAAAAAAAAGAAAGAAAGAAAGAACTCTCCACCTCCCAGTCAGCCTGATCCAAGCAATAGACCTTCCTCTGCCTCACCCCCCACCCCCAACTACCCCAAAGGTGGTCCTCCTCAGGACGGGCCTGGGGACGGGGTGGGTGACGACTCGTGATAACTTTCCATCTCCTCAGTTTTGGACACCTTGGCAAGAAAGAAGCGACCAAGAGGGGCAGGCGTGAAGCGAGCGCGCGCGCGTGGAGCGCCTTGTGTTCCCACCCCAGTCCAGGTCCCCACCCCGGCCCGCACGCACCGTTCCCGCAGCTGGCATGTTTGGCCGGCAGCTCCATGGGTCGCTGGGCGCACGGACCAACGCGCCGGCGGACGGCACCCCGGCTCCTGGCTCCGCAGCAGGTGGCCGCGACGCGGCCGAGAAGCCGCCGGGGTCAGGACCCAGGGGGTGGGGAGAATGACGCTCCCTAGAGGGGGAGGGTCCCCGAGGAGGAGTTACCCCGCGTCTTGGGCAACTCTGGGGGCTGGGGACCAGGCTCTCGGGCTGCCCATGGAGGCACGCACGCTCTACCCAGGCGTAGAGGCTGCTGAGTTACTCGCGTCGGAGTCTAGCTCCCTTGCCCAGGGCAGGAGATGAGAGGGCGTCATCCTCGCCCTTCCCAGACGCCTGGACCGTCGCCCAGTTCCGTCCCTAGTGATGAGCCCAGGATGGTAGCAGAAGAGGCAAATTCCAGTCTGAGGTGGAAGTGGAAAAGAGGAGTACGAAGAGGGTACCCCTGCTGGTTGAAACTCTGTCGGGCTGGAGGGTCAGGGCACCTGGACCAGCTCCTTCCTTCCTCCCTTCTCTCCCTTTCCCTTTTATTTATTCATTCAACATAGGTCTGATCTGTGCTGGGCCATAGCAGGATAACAGACACAGGTGCCCAAAACATGCTCAATATATATATGGCCAATGAATGAATGATAGGAGCTTGGCAAAGGAGAGAAATGATGTAATTGGAGACCAAAATAAGACTTTTTCCCAGTTTCCCAAGAACCTTATATATTAATGGGGGAAATAAATAGGATCAATTACCTAGAGACTGGTGTTTTCCAAGTTACCATTTTAGAAAAACATCAGTGTGTATTGAAAGAATAGGCTATAGATAGTAGATTAAAGGCCAGGCATCGTTCTAAATGCTGAAAATTATAGTTCATTTAATCCTCATGACAACACTAGGAGAAATCAAATTTTATTATTGACAGAAAGGAAACTGAGGCACAGAGTGATCCAGTTAACTTGCCTGGTATTCCAGCTAGGGATACGTTAACAGCCGCTTCACACCCTAATACTTAAACTCCTGCTCCCATAGTGAGGGCGTAAGACAGCCAAGTCAGCAGTGATCAGTTCTGACAGTGTTGCTCACAGTCCTCCTGGAGGTGGTAGTTTTTAAAAATACTCAGGTATTGAGTGCCTACTAAGGGACAGACACTGTCATGCGTCATCTTATTTAAGCCTCTTAGGAGGCAGGTGCTATTGCTATCTCCATGTTACAGATCAGGGAAAAATGTATTTTTAAAAGTTTTTTATTATGAGATAAATTTAGACTTAGAGAGAGTCACAAAACAGTACAGAGACTATCTGCATACCCTTCAGCAGTTTCCCTTAATGTTAACATCTTACATAGGAAAAACTGTATTTTAAACATTTTGAGAAACTTGCCCCCAAGTCCCACAACTAGTAAGTGAAAGAACCAGGAGTATCAGGGTTGCTGTGGCCCCCAAGCCTGTACTCCCAGCCATCAGCCTCCATTGTCTACTGGTGGCCTTCTAGCTAGGCCTTGAAGGATGAGTTCTTCTGACATATGGCTCTGCTTAACTTGCTAGATCACATTAAACAAGTCACTTACCCTCCATAAGGATCAGTTTCCTCATCGGTCGAATAAGATGACCCCTTCCCATCCCTTTCTGTGTATGTGGGGTAAGAGCAGAGTGGGTAGGACAGAGATTAGAATGAGAAGGAACTAGTACCCAAGGGAAGTCGCAGGCATTGCCCACAGAACATATCAACTCCCTTGGGTCTTTAAGAGCACCAGGGTTGACCCTAACACTGGAGGAGTGTTAATACGAGTTCAACTGGAGGTGAGTTCCTCTGAGACTAGCATGAACTAGAACACAAAGAGAAGCAAAAACTGGATGATACTTCATTATGGAAAAATACATGTGTCTATGCTACATGAGAGGAAGAATTTGACAAGAGAATTTCATTGGTATTTTCTCTCACCTAAGCCATTCCTCGGAAGGAAGGTTAGGCAATCTACTTCCGTAGTGATACTGCCTCAGAAAACCAAGGAGGGGTTGCTATGAGTTAGGTCCGACTCGATGGCACATAACAACAACAAGAAGCATCTCTGCCACACTGGTCCTCCCTCTGCTATGAAACGGTATCCATCTCTGATGCTGTCAGCTGAACAATCCACAAACTTTCATCATGTTCAGACTCAGTCCCTTTTGTTCCAAAGGACATAGGATGAGAGATATGGAGTGTTTCTCTGGGACCTGACTTTTGTAAATCATGGGAGAGGATGTTTAGGGCTACAGGTTGCAGTGCCAAGGTTGAGCCTAGATCCTGAGAGAGAGATGCACACATGTGTTCTGTAATACAGCTATTTTTGTATGTGTTTGTAATTTGTGGAGCCACTAAACTTTAGGGCCCAAGGAAGGGGCCTCCCTTTCCCAGGTCAAAGGGCAGTATCAAGTTTAATCTGTGCATTGAGACGAGGATTTTCAGAGTTTGCTGAATTTCATGCTTTAGGGTTTTCAGAGTTTGGTAAATTTCATGCTTTAGGGCAGTGGGATAAGATTAGAGGATCTGGGATTGACTGCTATGCCTTTCACACCCTCTCTGGGCCTCAGGATCTCCATCTGTTCTAGGAGGGGGCTGGGCCTTCCAGGGCTGGCTTTGGAGCAAGCTGAGAGGACAGACATAAAGGACCCCATTGAACTGCAGGCTCTTCGCCTGCTGTCCTAACAAAGCCCTTTTCTCTCCTAGCCACAATAGCCCTGTCAGACAGGTAGCAGGGCCTGCAGCATTGTCTCCCCAGAAAAGAACAACAGGGTTCACTGTCTGTCCCAGGCTTGGTCTCTTCAGAGAGGGCTGGCAGCTTTGGGAGGATCTGACTAGCCAAGGACAGATGGGCTCTGTCCTTAGTCAGCCAGAGAGTGGTGAACCAGCCACAGTTATTTTGGTCAATTATTCCAGGGTGAGCAAGAAAACAAACTTACCCAAATCAAGTTTCTAAAAACTTGACTTTTTAAAGTGCATGTTCAAATATATCATATTATAAAATTGTACTGTCCAATATGGTAGCCACTAACCACATGTGGCTATTGAACACCCACAGTAGTGACAATCAAAAATGTCCCAGAGATTGCCAAATGTCCTGGGAGGGCACAAAATTGCCTCCGGTTGAAAACCACTAGTGTAAATACATGCCAGATTTCAGAGACTTAGTAAGAATAAACTGCAAAACATCTTATTAGTGATTTTTAAAATATTGATTATATATCAAAATGACAATATTTTAGATACACTGGGTTAAATAATGTAGTATTAAAACTAATCTCATCTATTTGGTCATTGTTATTGAGAATATACACAGCAAAACGTGTAACAATTCAAAAATTTCTGCATGTACAATTTAATGACATTGATTACATCTTTTACACAGTAAAAGGCTTGAAGGATTTACTAGTGAAAATCAAAGACTCTTCAGCAGCTAAATATAAGGAAGACAAAACTAACAATTGGACGAATAAAGCAACATCATGATAAATGGAGAAAATATTGAAGTTGTCAAAGATTTCATTTTAGTTTGATCCACAATCAATGTCCATGGAAGCAGCAATCAATAAATCAAATGATGTATTGCGTTGCACAAATCTGCTGCAAAAGACCTCTTCAAAGTGTTAAAAGGTTAAGATTTCACTTTGAGGACTAAGGTGTGCTTGACTCAAGTCACGGTATTCTCAATTCTCTCATATGCATGTGAAAGTTGGACAATTAATAAGGAAGACTGAAGAAGAATTGATGCATTTGAATTATGGTGTTGGTGAAGAATATTGTTTACATCATGGATTGCCAGAAGAATGAACAAATCTATCTTTTTTCTCCTGTTTATTTATTTATTATTTTTATTGTGATTTGAGTGACTAAACAAATCTGTCTTGGAATAAGTACAACCAAAATGCTTCTTAGAAGCAGGGATGGCGAGAGTGGTCTCTCATACTTTGCACAGGAGGGATCAGTCCGTGGTGAAGGACATCATACTTGGTAAAGTAGAGAGTCAGTGAAAAAGAGAAAGACACTCCACAGATGGAAAGTCACACTGGCTGCAACAACAGGCTCAAGCACAGAAATGATTGTGAGAATGGTGCAAGACCAGGTAGTTTTTTGTTTTTTTTTTTCCTTGTGATTTGGGTGAAATTCATAGAACAAATTAATTTTCCATACAGCAGTTCATACGTTTTATTTCAGGACATTGACTGCAATTCTCTATAATGTAATAACTCTCTTCCCACCTCTTCCCTGTGTCTTTCTTTCCTATGCATTCCTGCCCCCCAAGTTATGTCTCTGTGCAAGTACTGCCCTTCTGTTCCCTTAAGATTGATCATTTTAAGGAGTGGATCTACCTGATGTAAATGTTCACCCTATGTGCTTGTCTATTGTTTGGCTGGAAGCCACGGGAGTAAGTTTCATTCCAGAACTGAAGGGTCATATATGGACTAGGGACCATAGTCTTGGGGGGGTTTATGAGGGTCTATCAGACCAGTAAGGGAGCTCTGGTAGCATAGTGCCTAAGGCGCTTGACTGCTAACCAGAAGGCTGGCGGTTCAAACCCACCAGCCACTCCTCAGAAGGAAGGTTGGGCAATCCTACTTCCGTAGTGATACTGCCTCGGAAACCCAAGGAAGGGTAGCTATGAGTCGGGGCCGACTTGACGGCACATAACAACAACAACAACAACAATCAGACCAGTAAACCTGATCTTTTTATAGGCCCAGGTAGTTTTTCATTCCATTGTACACAGAATTGCTATGAGTCAGAACCAACATGATGGCACCTAACAACAACCAATTTAAGATTACCTATGTGGCTCACATTATATTTCTATTGGACAGCACTGTTATAGAGGAGGAATCTGAGGCCCAGAATGGGAAAGTTACCAGTGGAAGATCTGAGCAACAGAGAGGCAGAGTCAGGACTCCAGCCTGAGTTTCCAGACTGGCACCCCAGAACCAACTCCACTACTCAGCTGAAAGGAAATAAAAAAATATATGTATTTGGTCTTGAACTCCTGGGTGTTTCCAGTGTTGTTGTTTGCCGTCGAGTCAGACTCGACTCATAGCGACCCCTCCTTGGGTTTCTGAGGCAGTATCACTATGGAAATAGATTGCCCCATCTTCCTTCTGTGGAGTGGCTGGTGGGTTTGAACCACCAGCCTTCTGGTTAGCAGTCAAGTGCTTTAGGCACTACACTACCAGAGCTCCTGTGGTGTGGTCAAAATAACCATGAATGAAGAAGAGTAGAGATGTGAGTAATACTAATTGTGGTAGTTAAATTTTATGTCAACTTGGCTGGGCTTGGTTGAGTGGCTGGGCAGCTGGTGGTAATCAACTCCATGGTAGGATCTACCACAAGTAGCTGAGTTGGTCTGCTTCCAGTATATAAGGAGAAGCTTTGGGGAATGGTCTCTAGCTTATGGCATGCTTGGACCCTGCATGTAGCTGTGTCGTTGTTCAGCAGCCTGCCATGCTCTGCCGACCTTGGGACTTAGAATGGACTTAAATTAACAGCCTGCCGTGTGGTTTGATATCGTCGGGACTATGCCATTTTATTTGTCGACGTTGGTCTTGTTAGCCTAAGCAGCCAGTAGCTGCCTGAATGGAGAGATGCCTTTAGCTTCAGTGGGCCAGGAGCAAGAGGTCAAGGGGCTTTCACCCAGCCCCTAGAGCCTGGCACTTTGAACTTGGACTTAAAGCCTCCAAACTATGAGAGAATAAACTCCTGTTTGTTAAGGCCATCCCATTTGTGGTATTTCTGTTAGAGCGGTACTAGGTAACCAGAACACTAATGTTATCTATTGTTGTTGTTGTTGTTATGTGCCATCGAGTCGGACCCCAACTCATAGCGACCCCTCCTTGGGTTTCCAAGGCAGTATCGCTACGGAACTAGATTGCCCAACCTTCTTTCCGAGGAGTGGCTGGTGGGTTTGAACTGCCAGCCTTCTGGATAGCAGTCAAGTGCCTTAGGCACTATGCTACCAGAGCTCCCAATGTTATCTATAGAAGACTTGATATATGTTAGATATGTACTCATTTAATTTTGCAGCTACCTTGAAAAGCAAATGCTACTTTTAATCCCAATTTTCCAGATGAGCAAACTAAGTGCTCAAGGATACTTAGCCTGTAAGTTCAGGAGACAAAAACCAAGCCAAAGTCTACTCTTTTCAGTACTACATATACTGTCTTATGGTCCTAGGTCTAGTAATATTCTGTGAGGGTCAATTCCCCTCCTTGAATCGTACCCTTGGTAAAAGGACTGGGAAAGATGTAGTCTGTGTTCTTGTGCAGTCCTGCAGAGCTATTTCGGATGGCATGAAAAAGGGCATGCCAATCACCTCCTTCAGACTGACCTGGAATCCTGGGAATCTGGACTGTCAACCTGTAGAGGCCGGTCCACCCTTTTTCTGCAGGTGTGTCCCCAGGATGGCTACTGTCCTCATAAAGAACTTTCATCATCAGAAATAATGCTTGAAATGGACACATTTGCACTGTGCTGTCTCTAGGAGCGTAATGTCCAGAGACAAAACTTCAAGCTGGCATTGTGCAGTACCAGAGTAGCTGTCTCAACAAGGCTCTGGTTTGATGAGGCC